TAAGGCAGTCATTCTATACTTCTGAGGAAAAGTCCAGAATAGCAGTGGAAGGTAGTAGTCTAGACAATGATGAACCCATCTATCACTGCCACTTGGTTCCTCTGATCTTGGCCTGTGAAACAAATAAAACCTGCCTTGATTCCAATACTGTTAATCGGCTTTCTGTCACTCGAATGGAAAGGATTACTTATGGATTGAAGCCTGAAACCATGCTAATGTCTATTTTAGGCATAGCATCTAGTATATAAAAACTTTGTTTCAGCATAGGGTTGATAATCATTTTCACACACTTTATTAAATTCTTGATTAGAAAGACTTGCAACCAGTACTCTTGATGTTCCATACAAGTTAACAGTGTGGTTATGTAAAATGAAACAATAAAAGAAAAGGCCAATTGTAATACAGACAGAGGGAAAATGTGATCCCAAGCAGGGAGGAAACAAATTAAGATGAGCCTTACAAGAGCCCTGAATTGTGCCAGGAGTATTCTCAGTCCATGTTCCACGTGGGGGAAAATCCAAGTAAATACTACTGAGGAGACAAAGTTCGATATCGGGGACCATGAGATGTCTGAATTTTTGCAATGAAGAATGTTAGGGGAAAAACTGTACATAGAAAGAGTTTAAGACTCTCTTCACCCCGTATCTCCCGTCCCGAGCAGGGCCTCCTAGCACCCTTTACTTAGTGAAAGTGGACTATAGACCAAACAAGATGGCTGTTTGATACCTCTATTGCAAACCACAACACCCAAAAAGAGAGAGAGAAAGCAAGAGGGAATGCCCTGCCACAGAGGTGGGGTGGGGTGGAGGGGACGGGGTGAGGGTGGTGGGAGGGATGCTGAGACCACTGGTGGTAGGAATTGGGCACTGGTGGAGGGATGGGTACTTGATCATTGTATGACTGAAACGCAAGCAGGAAAGTTTGTAAGACTGTAACTATACCTCACAGTGATTCACTAATTTAAAAAATTTAAAAAGACTCTTCATGGGGCTGGAGCAATAGCACAGTGGGTAGGGCGTTTGCCTTGCATATGGCCAACCCGAGTTTGATTCCCAGCATCCCATATGGTCCCCCGAACACTGCCAGGAGTAATTCCTGAGTGCAGAGCCAGGAGAAACCCCTGTGCATCACCGGGTGTCACCCAAAAAAAAGAAAAAAAAAAGACTCTGTTCACAAATTTGCCAGAATACTAAACTGTACATGTATGGAGACTTACAAAAAATAGCTCTCAGGGAAAGAATTAGTGGACAACTGAACAACTACTAATAGATTCAATTGCCAGGGATGGAACTAGACCAGATAGATGCAAGATTTAACCCCTATATTGTCTCTCCAGTTCTTAACTTTATCATTAAAATATAGTTCATTTAGAAAAAAATTACAATATGCCTGGAGTGGATTAACCTATGTGACATAAAATGTATGATAATACATTTCTTGTTCAGAGTCAAGACTATATTATTGTTAGTTTCTTCTATTTTACCTGAAGTATTTTGGGCATGTTTTGCTAAGATGAATGAACTAAACCCTAGATATTTTGCAACCACCAAATAAAATATATCTATGCATAAATACCCAAAATCTAAAAAAAAAAACGAATAAACAAAATAAGACAAAACAAACAAGCAAGTTCAAATGAATTTAAAGAAGGAATAAAAGGTGGGATGGGGGATGGGGAGTGGGAGGGATACTGGGATCAGTGATGGTGGAGAATGGGCACTGGTGGAGGGATGGGTGCTCGATCATTGTATGGCTGAAACCCAAGCACAAAAATTTGTAAGTCTACAACTGTACCTCATGGTGTTTCACTAATAAAAATTTAAAAAAAAACAAAATAAATTTTAAAAAAATAAAGAACTAATGAAAAAAGAACTGAGGACCTATAGAATAAGAAAATGCAAACAATAAAAGGGTAGACTTGAATTGAGTTACATTTAATGCAAATAGGTTAAACATATCAATTAAAAAACAGATTATCAGACTATTTTTTTTTTTTGGGAAACACCCAGTGATCCACAGGGGTAACTCCTGGCTCTGCACTCAGGAATTACTCCTGGCAGTGCTCAGAAGACCATATGGGATGCTGGGAATCAAACCCGTGTTGGCCATGTGCAAGGCAAACATCCTACCAGCTGTGCTATCGCTCCAGCACCCAGACTACATTTTAAAAGCAAGATACAACGGTATTACCTACAAAGTAATTCACATTAACATAAAGAAATAGAAGTAAAAAATAAAGACAGAAAGAAAAACATAAAACAATAATAAGAAAGCAGTGTTTCCTATAAAGGAAAGGCAGATTTTAGAAGACATATTACTCAGACAAACAGAAAAGTTTTGGTGATCAAATGACAATGTATTAAAAGACCTAACAGATCTTACAAAATAGGATTTTAACTTAGAAAAAGAAAATACAAGCCCACAGATATATCTTGACATAAATAATCTTAGCAGCTTTAATAACCTCCCCAAACTAGAAACAATTTGTTCAACAATGTGTGAATGAAAAAAATGTGGAATTCATCAATAAAAACATTTTAACAAATCACCAATATGAAGGATTGTCCTGAATTTGACAGCAGACGATCACAAAAGTAGCACTGTAGCACTGTCCTCCCATTGTTCATTGATTTGCTTGAGCGGGCACCAGTAATGTCTCCATTGTGAAACTTGTTACTGTTTTTGGCATATCTAATGGGGGGGGGGCTTGCCAGGATCTGCCATGAGGAAGGGATACTCTCAGAAGCTTGCAGGGCTCTCTGAGAGGGATAAAGGAATTGAACCTGGGTTGACCGTGTGCAAGGCAAATGCCCTACCCGCTGTGCTAGCACTCCAGCCCAAAAGTACATACTATTTAATTCCGCAAATTTGAATTTCTGGAAAAGGTAAATCTTGACTTTTGTGATACAAATTAGATCAGAGTTTGATGAAAGCTTGAAGAGGAAGAAGCATGAGACAATGTTCTTATATAGAGTGGGGTCGTAGTTACACATTGTTAAAACTCATCAACTGCAATTTTAAATTGGAAGAATTTTGTCTCAAAGTTATTTCTTGGGGCTGGAGAGATAGCACAGCGGGTAGGGCATTTGCCTTGCACACGGCCGACCCTGGTTCGATTCCCAGAATCCCATATGGTCCCCTGAGCAATGTCAGAAGTAATTCTGAGTGCAGAGCCAGGAGTAAACCCTGCGCATTGCCAGGTGTGACCCAAAAAGCAAAAAAAAAAAAAAAGAAAGAAAATATTTCTCAACGTAATGTGTTTTAAAAAAGAAAGGAGACAGTGTTACGGCGAGTTAAAAGAGTAAATGTCACCAGAATGATAGATTCTTCATAGAACTGTAGGAATTTGTATATTTACAAGATATTTATTAGTGACTTTAGAAAGCATTTATATTTTTTAAAAGATTGGTAGAATATAGGATGCTGGATACATCTATTTTAATTACATTTACCTAGAATGAGAAAATCCATTTTTAAAGGCACAGACTTTTCCATTCCAATCTGTGCTTCCTAAACTTCAATGCACCCAGGTATCATGTGGAGGTATAATTTAAAGTTTTTCAGGAGGTCTTGAGAAAGACCTCGATTATCTACATTTCTAAGTAGATGCCCAATGGCATTCATCACTGATTCACCTACTTCACATCATAAACACATGACTTTTCAGAAGCATCTGTGATTTGTATTAAGCATCAACTTGACCTAGAAATAGCCCAAACCTTAAGGTTCATTCTTAACAGGTAGATTAACACCCTAGTCTACTTTCCCTTTTGTATAAGTAGCCAGTACTGCTGCTTAAGAAACTGTGGCAAGCAAGTATGACTTTGCATCAACCGCCTGGGATTCAATTCCTGCTCTATTTCATCTAGGTTAGTGTCACTCCTAGACTGCAAAATGGAAAAGAGGAAGGAAGGAAGGAAGGAAGGAAGGAAGGAAGGAAGGAAGGAAGGAAGGAAGGAAGGGAGGGAGGGAGGGAGGGAGGGAGGGAGGGAGGGAGGGAGGGAGGGGTTTCAGAAAGAAAGGAAAGGAAGAAAGAAAGGAAGAAAGAAAGAAAGAAAGAAAGAAAGAAAGAAAGAAAGAAAGAAAGAAAGAAAGAAAGAGTGAGTTTCTCCTCTCTGGGCTGTTGTGTGAATTACAACAGTATCAATGAGACTACTGTAGAAATAGTCATGCTTTTTTTGTGTGAATTACAATAGTATCACCGAAATTATAGAAATAGTTATGCTTGAGAGAGAGAGAGAGAGAGAGAGAGAGAGAGAGAGAGAGAGAGAGAGAGAATATGCTTATAAAGAAAAGCCAAGTGCCATCCAGAGTTGGAAAAACCACCTAGGAGTTTACGAAAGGGGCGGGCCCCAAAAATTAAGAGGTGGGACCGCCGGGATCATCCCCACGGGCCAGCAACGGAACGTACCACATTGCCCGGGAGGCGCAACCCATTTAAAAACCCAAACCAGCAGAACGCCCACCCTTGCCGGGCAACTTCACCCCCCAACCCCCTAAATCAGGAAACTTGCAAGGGGAACTTTCGCTTCCTTCACGACTCCAACCCGCCCCTCAACAAAGTGCAGCGATTGCCGCGGGGCTTCCCTCTCCCGGGGGCAGGCACAGCACTTGCCCTCGAGTCCTCCCCGCGCCGCCAGGCCCCTAGCTCGCACCCACTCCTGACATTTCGCCCCCCTCCGCCCCGGGGCAGTAGTTTCCACTGGGGGCGGGGGGGGGGGTGTCAGGAGCAGCCCTGGGCTCCTCTATCTCCGAGCCTCCGGGAGGGGGTGTCCGGGGAGCGGCGTAGCCCAGAAGCCGACGGGAGCGCCCGCGCCGGTACCGTAGGCGCCGACTCACCCGCCGGCGCGAGCAGCGGCCGCGGCGTGGGCGCGGGGCGCAAGAGGCGGGCGCGGGCGCCGCCGCGGAAGGAGCGCGCCGAGGTCGGGGCCGCGTCACCCCCCCGCAGAGCCGGGGCGCGGTGGCGGCGGCGGCGGCGGCGGCGGCGGGGGGCGGGGCCGGGCGCACGGGGGCCGCCTCCGCGCTGCCGCCTCCTCCGCCGCGGCCGGAAACAATAGTGGCGGGTCCCGAGCCGCGCGGAACGGCGGCGGCGGCGGCGGCGCTTGGAGCCGGAAGGTAAAGAAAAAATTAAAAAAAAAAAAACGCGCTCTGTTCGCTTTTGGGGTCTCCGCCCCGGCGGCGTCGGCGGCGGCGCCCCGGCACTCGGAGGAGCCCCCGCGGTTCCTCGACGGAGAGAGATGGAGACGCGGGGCGGCGGGTTGGGTCCCGGGATGGGAGCAAAGCGCGGGGCCGGGACGGGCTGGGTGGGTTTTGTTTTTTTTTTTTTTTTGGTGGGGGAACCTACCCCCTTTCCCTCCCCCTACTCTCCCAACCCCTCTCCCAACCCCCCTCCCAGCCGTCCACCCCATCCCGTTTAGCCGCTGTCCGGCCTCGAGGGTGCCGGCGTTGGCTGGACGCGGACGGGACGCCCCCTCCCCCCCGCACCTTCCCCGGGCTTGTGTTCCCACGTGCGTGACGGCTTCCCCCCGGGTCTACCCGTGGCGTGGACGCGCCCCCCAAACCCCGGTGCCCGCAGTGTCCTCCGCCCGCCGAGGATCCGCGTGGGTCCGAGTGCAGACCCGACCCGGCCGGGAAAAGGCCGAGCCAAGAACCGTTCGGTGCCTGCCAGTGCGGTGCAGCCGGGGCTCTCGGGGTGCAGCTTGGATTCACTCCCCCACCCCACCCCCATTTCCAAAAAAAAAAAAACCAGTTTCTTCCTTTCCTCGTAATGAAACAACAAAGGACCCAAGTGCAAGGGCACCCGGGCATCATCACTTTGTTCCTGGCTTGGCGTCCCGGGACGGGGCTGGTGGAGCCCGAGCATCCCTGGGGTGCCTGGAAGTTGCTTCTCCTCCTCGCAGCCGTCTCTGCTGCTGTCCCGCAGTCAAGTTCCCCACCGGGCCTGACTTGACCTTTTTTTTTTTTTTCCTGTCTCTTCTTGCAAAGGGGCACAATGAACGAAGAGGAGGAGCAGTTTGTAAACATTGACTTGAACGATGACAACATTTGCAGCGTGTGTAAGCTGGGAACGGAAAAAGAGACGCTCTCCTTCTGCCACGTTTGCTTTGAGCTAAATATTGAGGGTAAGGGGACGCCAGAGATAATATGTATTAGACGTCGTCTTTCTGTGTATGGCACGAACTGGATGGACAAGACAGGGCGGAGCAGGCATGGGGGTGGGGGGGGGGGTGCGCGGTGCGAGTTAGAAGAAGGCGCAGCTTGAATTTGGTGGAATTACTCTGGGGATTGCGCCTGGTGTGAAATGTGGGGCGCAGTGAAAGCGAAGGGTTTCTGGGATCCAAGCTAAAGTCAGCGTAGCTGTGAATTTTCAAGTCATTTTTAATAATAATTCCCACGGTGCTCACCCCATTTTTGGCTAAGAGGGAGATGTGAGTATCGGTTTCTGCTTTGAAAGCTCAGGTTGTTAATTTTTTTTCACAAGACAGTCAGCGGGGGTGGGGGGTGGAGAATGGAGGATGTTTTAATAAGAATTCATGAGCAGATTTTTTTTTTAAATGGGAAAAATGTGGTTTTATTCCTTTGGCCTCCGTGCCTCCTACCTAACCGAGTTATCTAGAAAAACATTTGTTTTTAAATTTTACATAACCTCTCTTCCTTGATCTCACACACCCCTTTAAAAAGTGTTTCTAATGTTTCTCCATAGTATCTGAAAAAGTTTTCCAAATGTCAACCTGTGTTACTGAAAATATTTGTATTTGCCTAAAAGAAATTTGTAGGATGTTTCTTTTATGTTTTGGTTTTTTTTTTTGTGGGGGAGGTTGGGGAGTTTTAGGGATCACAGCCTGCAGTGCACAGGGCTTACTCCTGGCTTTGGGCTCAGGGATTACCCCTAAATCATATAGTGTGCTGGGGATTCCCACCCAACCCCACCGTGCAAGCTCTGCTCTCTGTACTATCACTTTGGCCCCTGTGGGGTGTTTCTTTTTTATTTCTTTATTTTTTGCTTTTTGGATCACACCCTGCGAGATGTACAGGGGTTACTCCTGCCTCTCAGGAATTATTCCTGGCAGTGTGTGTGTGGGGGGGGGGGGGGAGGGGGGGGGGAGACAATATGGGATGCTGGGAATTGAACCCAGGTTGGCCGTGTGCAAGGCAGACAACCTACCCGCTGTGCTATCGCTCCAGCCCCTGGGATGTTTCTTAATCTTGATGTCATGATAAAGTTCTTGATTTTGTGGGGCTGGGGTTTTGTTTTCTTTGGGGGCCTCACCTGGCCCTGTGTTCAGTGATCTCTCTCAGAAGGATTTAGAGATCCATGTGTAGTGCCCCCAAATGGAATAACTCCGACCCTAAAACTCTTATTTTTTAACAAATATTTATGAGTTACTCTTAAAAAGAATAATCCTATGATTAAAAAAAAAAAGTTTGCCTGTTATTGGAATTTTAAATTGTCACTAGCTTATTTGGTAGAACTTCAGAATTTGAACAGTTTTAACACTTTTGTATTCTTTTTTCCCCCAGATTGTATATGTGAAATATTCATTATCTTTGCTTTTTCTATTTTCTAAATAGGACGTGTTTGTATAATGGCAAAGTAATGGATTAGAATTTTCTACCATGAAGTTTCTGTTAGGTCTTAAGGTTCAGAAATTATTATAGGCATCAGAATAATACTTATAGTATCTAGTAAAATTAAACTTTTAGTAGACAACATAGTAGAGTTAATTATATGTCATTCATGTTTTTATGATCATACTGCTTACAACATTTTGTCATTATATGGCCCAGAAGAATTGTAGTTGCTGAATATGTAACTGATAGATTATTGATTTCCTTTTGGGTTACATAAATTACATATATTATTTGGTTTAATATAGGAATTACAAGTAATTTCAACTTGAAACATTGTCTTGCAAAGTCCTTGATTGTAGAATTAAAGACCTAAATTCATGTTACTTGGGAATAGAGTTTACTCTAAGTATTTTTTATATGTTGTGCATTGTGTATTATTTTTATATTTTGTATATTTAAATTTTAGATAGGCACTGGAAAGTCCCAGCCCAAACCTATATTTCACAGTGAAAGAAACTTACGGTCAAATAGACTGCTCGGGCTATGTATTAAGAATATTGTACTGACTCTTTCTTGGAATAGTTTATTTAAATCAAAAACAAATCTTGGATGTCTACGAAGCCTGGAGAGTGGTTGTAGTATGTCCTAATTTAACACATCTACTGTCTCTAGTTATTTTCATTCATGGGGTCATATAGAAACCTGTTTTCCTGAGTCCTAAATTCTTAATTTTCGGTCAGCCTATCTGCTGAATGTCGCATGTACACTGAGAAAAATGTTATTGCTTGGGGTTGGGTTAAATAGTTAGGATGCAGGATTTGGACACGACTGACCCAGGTTCGATGGACTGCCCAGTATCCCCTGCCCCAGCATCTGTGTGGCACTGGTGGACCCTTTCCCTATTGAACCAAAGCAGCACCACATTCTCAGGCCTTAGCATCAATCATGCTGGTCCTGTGGGCTGAGAATCACTGAGAGTGGCACCCTGAGCACTGCTGGGGAGGCACCCATCCCCTCCCCACACTCAGACAACCCACTCTCAGGGGAAAAAATCAAATTTAAACAAATTTACTGCAGAGATCTAAACTTTCATAATTCTCATAAATTTTCATCATGTTTCTAGCCCTTTTTTCCCCTCCTCCTTTCCCCATTCCTCGTTTTTCTAGTGGTTTTGATTGCGGTGACTAGGGTGGCATAGCTGCTTGATTGAGGTGCGTGCATACACAACTCTCCAGGAGTCACACTTCCTTTTCAGTGCACTGGAAGCAGTGCACTTTGCAGTGGCGCCAGGTACCCAAAAGGCTTTGGTATGTAAGACATACTGGGATCAAACTCTCCACACCTCAGGCTTGTAGGCACTCTGCCACTGACCTGTCTGTCCCGGCCACTTTAATGTGCCTTTCAATTATTTCCTCCGTACAACATTGAGGATATACAAGTATTCCTCGGGGAGCATCTTTATAAACATTTGTCCCTCACAACATTTATCTCCACGTAGAAGCCCGGCCTATATGCCGTTGAAATGTCCTTCATTGCTGAAGTAATAATTGGCCTTTAAGAGGTAAAAACAACTCATAATTTGAATTTTGAGTTTTTGTTTTATACCCTACAAATGCTTGATATTTCAAATTTTCAAAATACCAAATAGATTTTTGTGAGAAAAGTTATCTTAGAAATAGGTTTTCATAATTTATCTGACGTTATTGATTCTTGGAATTATGTACTGTCACTGTCACCGTCCTCCCGTTGTTCACCGATTTGCTCGAGAGGGCCCAGTAACATTGTGAGACTTGTTACTGTGTTTGACATATCGAACACACCACGGGTAACTTGCCAGGCTTTGCCATGCAGGCGAGATACTCTCGGTAGCTTGCCGGGCTTTCCAAGAGGGGCGAAGGAATCAAACTCGGGGCGGCGTGTCGGCTGAATGCCCCTACCCCCTGTGCTATCGCTCCCTTATATTTTTGCTAGAGTGATGGGCAAGAGCATTCTAGCTGCTTGAATTTGGTATTAGAAGATTATTGGTAGAAACTGGAGGGAAATAAAAAAAAACGTAATGTTTTTATCAATATACAGTGGGTTTCTTTTAAAATAGGGAGAAATATAATAGTGATCACTTGTACAATAAAAAGGTGTATTATTTGTTTTTAGCTTTTTCTTCTCAGCACATTGCCAGTAAATGATATAATGTGTAAAGGACTAACCTGTGACATTTTTTTTTTCATGATTGGATTTCATTTATATAATGTTCCAACACCTAACCCTTCACCAGTATACATTTCCTGCCACCAGTGTCCCCAGTTTCTCTCTCGTCCTTCCCACACCTCCCCTCCCTCACTCCTACCTCTATGACAGGCACTTTCCTTCTCTCTCTCTCTAACCTGTGACATTTAAATTTGGTAGTATTATGTTGTATATTACCTGGTTCCTTAGTTTATGAGTTAGTAAGTTTGCTTTAAAGCATTCTATTTTTGTTTTTCTGCTTGAAGGGTAATCTCTTACAGAATAATAGGCTAGTTTTAAATTCTCACATTTGCAAGAAATATTTTACTCCTTTTGGATTATTGCTTAAGTCTGATCAGCTAACCTCTTGATTAAAATTGTAAAATAAAAATAGAAAAACAGAAGTCTTATTAGAGAGGTTTTTGTATTCTGAGTATAATATTAAGTTTTGTTTTTCTATGACTTTACTGTAATTAAAAAGGAAAGGGATACCAACATTTTATGAACTATCAGGTGATAGATGATACATTTCAAGAATTTAGGAATTGTACTTTAAGAATTTTTCTTTCAAAGTGCTAAGAAAATATTTTTATATCTATGATTCACTACCAGAAAACCTTGGTCTACTTCTAGGATTAGGTGACAGATGCATAAACTTCCTAATACTTATGACCTGTCCTTTGCCCTAAGACTATATAAACTTTGTCGTGTGTGTGTGTGTGTGTGTGTGTGTGTGTGTGTGTGTGTGTGTGTGATTACTACCATTTCCTAAGCCATTGTGAATAGGAGAAAGGTAGCGGTGTATGATGAGGGCCCAGTAATGAAAATCATTTATGATATAATCAGTTTCTCGGGCCAGAGTGATAGTACTGTAGCGGGTAGGATGCTTCCCTTGCACACAGGACCCCCCCGCCCCGGGATCAATCGATCCCCGGCATCCCTTGTGGTTCTCTGAGCCCACTAAGAATGATCCATAAGTCAGCCCTGGAGCACTTCCAGGTGTAGCCTAAAAACTTATCAAAATAACCGGCTTAGAAATAGCACTGGAGGGAACAAGTGTTCAGAACTCCAGCCTATTCTTTCCAGCTCTGTTTTCATTTTCATGTTAAAACACAGTGCAGGTAACTTTTTCATAAAACTTTTATCCTTAACGCCGTGATTTACCAGATTCTTTATAATACAGTTGTTTTGGGCATGTAGTGTTCCAACACCAATCCCACCATTACTGTGTCCTTCCCTCCACCAATGTCCCCAGTTCTCCACCCACCCTGACCCCTTGTGCAAATTATTTTTGAAGCACTTCTACCTTCTTCAGATAACTTTGTTT